ACAAATAGGCTTTCCTGGCATTTCATTGATGGGGTGGTTCTATGAGTCCTCGCCCAGACTTTTACAAGTTACTGCTATAAAGGTACAGCAGTCCGAGTTAGAATCATATTCCACGTTGGTTTAAAGTGGATCCAGAATGATTTTTGAAGAAAGATTTTTGTCCCTGCTCATTGGTCCGCCTTCATTTCATCTTCAAGTAAAGCCACAATGGCTATCCACTCGGGGATGTGTCCTTACATTTCATCTGAGAATAATATGTCTGCTCTTCCTCCACACCCAGATACTTTGGCAACACCGTGCTCCAAGTTTGAGTCAGAGGTGGTAAAGCAAGACCCTGTGTTGGATAATTCTTATCCAAAGCCAGCTGGGAGAAATGTGTTCATGAATATAATGTCTCTACCTCTCAAAATTTCCTGCATTTTATTTCGAGATGGACCTGCGTACTTGGGATCACTGGCCCTTTCTGAACTGCTAGTTGTCAAGGTGGTTTGTGCACCAGGTAAATGAGCTCACACGGATGATGTCATCATTAATAGTCACAGGCGTCTCCCCACTCTCCATCCGTAAAAGGACGCTGTTTAAGTTATGGCCCGTTCTGTTACCCTTTAACGCCCTCCACAAAAGAAAACCCTCCCAGGTTTTAGTATTAGGGAAATTAACCCTTACAGATATTTCACATTCACGATTTCCTCATTACTTTTACTTTGAGGAACCCAAGAACCAAGTTTGCAAACTATCTCATCAGTTGCAAGATACATTAAAGTACGCATTTATCACACTCATTTTGTCTTGTCTGTATTGTTTTCTTCCCATAGCTATTCCGTATTCTACAGGGTATCCCAAAAGTTGCCCATAAAGTGACCATGCATAGTGAAAATGGGAAATTGTGGCTAAAGGTACCTTTATTTACAAAATATTCATTATAAAATTTTACAAAGAGGTAGGCAACACATAGAGAATATTTTATACATATTTTGTGAAATGAAGGATCATACCCCATGCCATCTCCCCATTTCCCACTGCTGTGAGAATCCTGGTATCCAGAGAGATGGTAGAAATTAAGAGTAACAGGAGTAGGTGGGGAAAGAGAAGAAATCTCACTGTTTAGCTGCAAGGAAGAATCTAAGTTTCTGTGGCTCCAGGGTCGCTTCCAAGAAAAGTCAAGAAAATGCAATTAAGAAACTGCTTGCATTAAACCCAAAGTGACATTTAAAATTCTGACACATCCAATTTATATAACATAAGAATGTCCTCTCCACAATACATATTTATGAAGTTTTGTTCATATTGCTGCAATACTATTGCATCACCATTTGGCCCACACACATATGCAATTCAAAAAATTATCCCAAACCTGTTATGATAATTTCTATCTGCACAAGTAAGAGAAAAGCTTCATTGAAATAAACAGAACTCTTCAGAAATATAGAAAAATTGCTTTGGCTAAGTAAAATAGTGATATTGCCAATCAAAAGCAATCATGTATCTCCAATAAATGGGGCTCCAATGATTAATCTAGTAACTATAGGTAAGAAATAGAAATATGGACGTTCGCAAGCCACAATGGCGAGAGATAAGGCACAGATACTCCTAGTTAGCTGAAATTTGACCGCATGATGTAAATCATCAGTGGGGAAGAGACCTTGCGTTAGAATTTGGAGAAGCCTGTGCATGTGCGTCATTTCACTGGTTTGGTTCAAAGACTACCAGGCTCCTCAGCGCTTCACATCACGGCGGCAGACACCTGTTTCCTATGCTCCTCTTCTAAATCAGTATTCATCACGACCCTCATCCCATGGAGAAAACAAACCTCTATGGAATTGTTATGAGAAATAGTATCTTTATTGTTCACATCTTGCTTACAAACAAATAAGGAAAAATTAGCTATTTATGTTTTTAACAAATTAAGACTAGTTTAGAGAACTCGGGTAAAGAATTACCTAATTTCAATAAGCAGCGGTGACTACAATAAACAGCCAATCCAGATCCTTTGAAAAAATTACCTAATACATCTGTTTTAATGGCACTAATAGTATTTTCATGTTAAAATTATCCTTGTTAACAGTGTGTCCTTCCAAGCTAACACAAAGTGAAAAATCCCTCTTAATACTTATTCTCTGATGATGAGATTTTCTCTAATTCTCTAATGAAAGATGTACCAGGGACACAAACTTCATAACAGAATCAGGTTTTTAAAAATGTAATCTACCAAAACCTCGACATATTGAATGTATTTCATTTGTAGTTATAGACACACACACATATGTATGTGTGTAGGTATATATATTTCTTTCCCCCTAATTGACTCCCTCTGTGATCTCAGAATGAATATATCCAGATAAAATTTTTCTGTTTTTATCCTAAACAATGTGTTTTATTCTTAACACCTGATTGCCTTCTCAGGGTCTGGAATTTTGATACATGTTGGGCAGAGACTGCCTACAGGATCAGCTCCCAGTAAAAGTCTGGGGCTCTGAGTGTCTCATGAGCTTGTTACACGTTGTCTGGGTTTGTTACTGGAGGATTAAGCACCTCCTGTACCACCGCACTGGGAAAGGACCTGGGAAGCTCCAGTCCAGGGTCCCTATGGCTTTGCCACATGAACCTTGCCCCATCGCTTCTCTCATTTTCCTCTAATAAATCTTGGCTGTGATTACTACTGTATTCTGAGTGTTACAAGTTGTCTAAGAAAGTCACAGAATCTGGGACCCGCACAACACAGCTCTTACAGACAGTTCTACCTTGTGAGGCCCCTCAAAACTGCCATACCATTACTTCTGCAAGCATTGCTGCTCCGTACCAGGGCACGCCCATGGCCAGGAGCCAGCGCCTGTCCACTACGTCGTGTAGTAGGGAATGGCAGCTCCCGGGAGCAGGGGGCATGTTCCCAGTCAAGAGAACTGGTTTCTGTTCTTAGTTCCCTGTTTGTTCTGCCATTTGATGTTTAATTCTGAGTAATTCAGAACCTTTTAGTACCTATTCAGAACCTTTGAGTAATTCTCAACCTTTTTTAGTCTTAATATCCTTATATAGAGAGGGTGCCAAAAAATGTATACCCATTTTAAAAAAGGAAAAAACTATTAAAATTGTAACACTCAATATATTCTGATTACCTTTGTTACCTGCTATAGTGTATCTTGTATCTCTCATAATTTCAGAAGTCAAATGTGACTTGAGTATTATAATTTTAATAGAGTTTTTTTCCTTCCTTAAAATGTGTATACATTTGTTGGCACCCTGTGTGTAAGGTACAAATAAAACTACAGGTATAAATAACACCCAGGTGCTGCTCGCCACAGTGGCTCATGCCTATAATCCTAGCACTCTGGGAGGCTGAAGTGGGTGGATCCTTTGAGCTCAGGAGTTTGAGACCAGCCTGAGCAAGAGTGAGATATTGTGTCTCCTAAAAATAGAAAAATGAGCCTTGAGTTGTGGCAGGCACCTGTAGTCCCAGCTACTCAGGAAGCTGAGGCAAGAGGGTCCTTTCAGCTCAGGAATTTGAGGGCTGTGAACCATGATGCCACAGCACTCTACCCAGGGTGACAGAATGAGACTCTATCTCTCTTTTTTTTTTTTTTTTTTGCAGTTTTTGGCCGGGGCCAGGTTTGAACCTGCCACCTCCAGCATATTGGGCCAGCGCCCTGCTCCTTTGAGCCACAGGCATAGTCCGAGACTCTCTCTATATCTTAAAAAAAGAAGTCCAGGTGTAGATTTTGATTTTTGGTAAATCCTCGCCAATTTGCTACTAAAAGGTATATTCCATGGAAATTGATTAGTAAAGCAAAACAGCTCTGTTAAGGGAGGTCCGTGTTCTCTATAATGTCCACTATAGAAGTAATTCTTAGAAAGTTCTGCAAGGATTTCTGGATTTATTAAAAATATGAGAAATATTTTAGTATTAGACATTTAAAGGGAAATATAATAAGCTACAAAACTAGGAGTAATACTAAAATATCATACTATAAGTTACTTCTCCCAGATAATAGTATCGTCTTTGAAAGTTACTGTCAGAAAACAAAACAAAACACACGATTAAAAGATACCACAACTTAGTCACCCGCAGAAGGAAAGTGGATGGCCTCCTGTTCAGGCACTGACCCAGGTCCCTCAGGGTGAGGCAGGTGACACAGACAGGAAAGGGTCTCTTCTGAAACATTAAGAACCCCTTTTGTTTAATACACATCAAGATCAGAAGGTTTCAAGAACAGAAGAGCCTGCTAAAATGCCTCTCTGAGTTGGCTACTGCTTCTGCGTACAAACCAGCTATTACCAATTGCTGCTGAAATGTATTTTCCGAGGATCAAGAAAAGACAGACAAATCCACTGAGGGATCCCAACACAAGACTCTCCAGCCCAAGATAAGTCCCTTACGGGCGTCCTATCCCTGAGAGGTTTAAGTAACATCCATGTTTCAGTGAAGTTGAGTTTCCAGTTGTTTTTACAATTACATATGCATAAACTTAAATTATATTTCACTATTCTACTGTGTAATTCTTGGCAGAAAGGGAAAGGAATTACAACTTGTGAATCGCAAAGTCTGAGCATAAGTACATGGCAATCTTGTCTTTGGAGAGCATTCAAACTTTTCTTTTAACCACTTCCTCAACTGAAGCTGCCATCTCGACTAAAAGCTGTTTCCAAACTCTTCACCCATGTGTCTCAGAGCAAAGACTGTCTGACAAATCCATCAGTCTGGTGTGTGCTCAGAAGGACAAAGGGAAAGGTGAGATGACACTGTCGCTAAACTACATCTGTTTTCATTTCCAGATTTTTCTACTAAAAACTCAAATGCAAACTTTTCAAATCAGAGAAAGAGCAGAGAACAATCAGCATAGCAAAGACATGCCAGGAGGCATCATGCACTAAGGAATGATTTCCATATTTCCCTGGCTGAATTTGCATACAGATTTGCTTAAATATTTGCCAAACCCAGAGTTCTAATCACTGGCAGTGGTCACTTCTCACAAATATACATTAACGTCAGCAATGCAAACAGTTACCTCCAAATCCTAACAGGGACTTGGAGCACAGGTAGAGGCAGATGAAAGAGGGCATGCCGCAGTGCAGCAGGCTCAGAGGGACGGCGGCATCCGCGCTCCGCTTCTGCTGCTCCAGGAATATTCTCAGTGGAACACAGAGAGATCCAGGGTGGTGAAAGCAATGGCTTTGCTATCACATCCAGACTCCCTCCTTGAATTCAGCACTCCAAAACCAGGCAGGAAGGGAAGCAACGACTGCACAGCTTCTCGTGCTGTCCTTCAGATTGCTCTTCTGACATTTATCCTGGTTGCCAGGGTGGCTTCTCTGCATGACAGTGCAGCACTCTCCAAAATGCTGTGCAAGTGGAGCCCAGCAGCAGAGAAACAGGACACCTGAGGGTTACGGGCCACCTAAGACTACTGGCTTTCAGGCACCATCAGGCAATTTTTTGCTTGGTATCAAATGTTCAGTGTAATCATATTTTCATGTTAACACACACTTCAAACATCCACAGACAGGGCTATTGAGACACCAGAATAATTATACTGATTTTTCCCCTTATTTTGCCAAGGATGCCATTGAATCTCTTCCCTTCTACTTTCTTTCCTCATATTTCCTCCAAGGGAGTCTGAGCTCATTTAACCTGCTTTACTCCTAAGTTACAATACTAGGAGGACTATACTTGACCACTCCAATAAGCAGAGCTGACACAGCAAATTCCAACAGAGCCAGTCCAGGGATCAGAGCCTGAGGGGGGTGGGGCCCAGCAGGAAGTGAGAAGGAAGGTTCTCTGGTTGTCTGTTATGCTGTATTTACAGGACTGTATGTAAATATTGGTTTAATCCTGAATCAACCCTGTGATGTCTGTATTATCATCCCTCTTTTTATGGATACAGAAATGATTTCAAAATTATCAAGTAACTAGTCCCACATCTCCTAAAAACCAGTGAGAAAATCACAAACAACCCAACAGAAAAATCATCAAAAGGGTTTAGTAGACATTTGATGGCAGTTAAAGCACAGATTGTCCATAAGCACAAGAAGAGGTGGCCAGCATCCTTAGTGATCAGAGAAATGTAAATTAAAACCCCAGCGAGGGGTCATGTCATGGAGTATAAATTAGAGCCCCTATTTTACACCCATTCAATTAGCAAAAATGAAAAAGCCTAAAAATTCCACATATTAGAAGAAAGGTGGGTGTCCATATTCCAATCAGTGTGACCATGGGCAGCCACTGTGTACACCAGCTTGGTACCATCTCTTAAGACTGAACATTCATAGCCCTCTGACCAGCATTCGACTTCTGCCGAAGGGAAACTTATACGCATGTGCATAAGGAGCTACACTGATGCAGTTATGTTCAACCACACCCAAATCGCTCTCTCCACAGCAGCCAAGCCCCCAGTGCCCATCAACAAGAGAGTGTATAATTTACACACTGACATGTTAAATAACAGAACAAAACAAATGCACTACAGCTTATCACAACTGTAGAGGAAACTTCACAATAAAACTCTGGCCTCCAAGAATTATACACCACAGAATGTCCTTTCTAAAAGGGACAAAACAGTTATAATTTAAGATTTCCTTTACAGAATCTACAAACGGTTTTGCAATCACATCCAGACTCATATTACAGAGTCATCCATGTGAGAAGTACAAGGAAAAGGGACTTAAAATAAATGCAAGTGCCTTGCAGCACCTGGTCCTAGGACGTTCGCCTCCTTACAACCATCATTTCCATTTGCGGCGTACACTTCTTAGCTTGGCCTGTCCCTGCATATCAGCGGCCACACAAGTTTCTTGTATCTCATAAAAGAGTGCATAAAAAGGAAAGTAAAGGAATAACAAACATGGAAATCAGGATGGGTCTGTGGGAGCTGGAGACAGAGGATGAGACAAGGGAACAGTTAGATGAAGGTTGTTGTCAAAATCCCAGCTTTGTTTGGGCAGGTGTTTGCACAGGCGATTGTTACCTTATTCAAAATGTCTGATAAAATTAATAAATAAAGGGAAAATACCTGTGAGAGCATATCATTAACCAAAGATTATTAGTTATCCAATTTTGTACATCTCTGAGGTCCTAAGAACATCCAAAGAAGTAAAAAAGATGAGAACAACAAATAAACTTCAATCCAGCCCAGGTCATACAGGGATGCTTCAAAGGCTCAGGTTCAGACCTGTCAGGCTCCAGAGCCCAGGCTGCTGCCAGGACAAGGTCTGCTCTTCCGTTCTCAACTAGAGACCCAAACAGTACTCACTATTGCCACTCACCCCTGCTGAGGGGTGACCTTGTCCTGAGTCATGGCCGGAGCTGATAAATGACAATGCCCTCAAGGGGCATGTTTCCCGGGCTCAGCCTCCAGCTCCTTAGAGTGCAAGGATTAGAGATGACAATAAAGGTGACGATCGTGACTAACACTTCCGGTTGCTTCCACACCAGAGCTTCACCAGTGTTTTTTTCTTTTTCTTTTTCTTTTTTTTTGCAGTTTTTTGGTGTGGGCCGGGTTTAAACTCACCACCTCTGGTATATGGGACTAGTGCCCTACTCTTTTGAACCACAGGTGCCGCCCACCAGTGTTCTTTTAATGACTCTCACTACAATCTATGAGGCATGAATAATTATTATTTCCAATTAACAATGAGGTGTTGAATGAAACAAGCCTAAGAAATTTTCCCAGTGTCCCATGACTATGATAAAAAATGGAAATCTTCAGTCTGGCTCTCTCCTGCTCCATTGCCCATGTTCTTAATGTCTGAGATACATATACACATGTGTAGACACACACACACCCATTATGAATAGATACACATATGTGGAGACATACATATATACTTATACGTATAGATGCCCTAAAATATATAAATACAAACACTTACACAGGCATGTACAGACACATAAATACATCTGGATACACACATATGCATAGAAACACATATGTATGGATGCACAGTCATGCACACAGAGAGATACACCCTGATGCACACACATGCAGACACTCTCGTACATAGCTATAGGCACAAAGGTATAGATACATACTAACACACTGATATGTATACAAACATAGATATGTACATATGATACACATATAAACTCTTTTTCTGGAATGGCCATCAGAGCTGTCACTGTACGGCCATACACCCAACAACAGTAATGAACACCACTCAGCAAGACACTGCCAAATATCCAAGACACTGATATACCAAGGTTATGAAACTTACCTAGTTGTTTGTACAGTGCTGACAACACAGTGGCAAGTTCACTAACTTAATTGTCAGATCTTGTATGATGACAGCTCCTCTGGCTTCCCTATGCACACAAATGCACATATATGTCTAGACACGGTCAAGCACATGCATGAATAGACAAACACACACGCAAAGCTGCCTTGCTTTTTCCCAGCATAACTCAACAGATCCATTTAACAGTTGTTAAAACTGCCTGCTTCGTCTTCCTCCAGCACATATTACAGAGTCATCCGTGTGAGAAGTACAAGGACAAGGGACTTAAGATAAATGCAAGTTCCTTGCAGCACCTTGTCCTAGGGTGTTCACCTCCTTACAACCATCACTTCTATTTGCAACATACAGTTCTTAGCTTGGCCTGTCCCTGCATATCAGCGGCCACACGAGCCTCTTGTACTTCAATTTCCACTTCTCTGGAGCATAAGTAGATCTGTGAGTGGTGGTACAAAGTGAATTTGGAGGAAGCTTAATATGTCAACATTTGAAATCAGACCTTTCTAACCTTGGAAAACTCTATCCAGACTCTGTGTTGTGGCATAACCAAATAAAGAAAACTTTAGCTTTATTTATGATTTTTAATTTTATTTTTTATTTTTGAGACAGAGTCTCACTTCATTGCCCCAGGCTAGAGCTCTATGACATTATAGCTCACAACCATCTCAAACTCCTGGGCCCAAGCGATCCACTTATTTCAGCCTCCAGGGTAGCTAAAACTATAGGCACCTACCCTAATACCCAGGTCATTTTTCTATTTTTGGTAGAGATAGGGTCTCACACTTACTCAGGCTGGTCTCAAACTCCTGAGCTCAAGCAATTCACCAAACTCAACCTCCCAGAGTTTTAGGATTACTGGTGTGAGCCACCGTGTCTAGCCAGCTTTATTTATATTAATATAAAATGGATGGAGTCTGGAATGGTTAATAAATGGTAGCAATATTATTATAAAACACTGATGAGACTATTAGCATTACTTATAGAGAATCCATTTTTGCTAAATCTGACTTTCCGTGTCTTATTTTTGAGTGTTTCTTATTTTGAGTCTAGGGGGTCTACCCTTGCAGTGTCTAATATAAAATTCTCCAGTGAGGTTAAGCTCAGTTACAAGTAGTCTTGCAAATTGAATTTTTTAGATGGTAAGGATTCTATAGAATAATGAAAGGGTAAATAGTTAAATTGTTTTCAGTATTTTCTGTTGATGTAAACAAATAAGAGATGGAGATGGGACGTAGACATGCAAAACAAACAAACAAATCCAAACCTCTCCAAACCCTTAACATCTCAACCCGTAAGAAGCAAATTTAATTACCACTTGGGGGAAAAGCGTAAGGGAGCCTCCCCATCCCATAATTCAACTCTGCCATGTTCCATCAAACATCACTGGGTCTTCAGAACATAGAAATTTAGCTTTTGAAAGATTAGGATGCTGTGGTTTCGCCCATATCATTCATATAAATGCAGAAAAGGAAAAGAAAAAGAAAGATGCGGAATGTTGAGTTTTACTTCAAACTAGAAAACATTGTTTTGTGGTGTCTCGGTAGAAAGCCCCCAGTGATTTCAAATGTGTAGACCACAGAGATGTTTTTCCTGAGTCCCGAGGCAGTGGGGCTCCATGATCACAGAGCTTTCCTCGTGTATCATACAGGAAATGGAGTGGAGAGGCTGCAATATGATGCCTAGAGAGAAAGTCCCAGGCACAGAGGAGGGAAGTCAGCAGAGCTGGAACTACGACTTAAGAAGTTCTTCATCTTGCAGAAAGGAGAGAGCAGGTAAAGTGAAGGGATCCCTGGGAAAGAACCCAAAACCTGGCAGCTGCCTGAAGGCTGGTTGGAGATCTGTGATTGAAATATGTATTTCCACGGAGAACTGAACCACATCTGGAGCCTACAATTTAATTTCTCCCAACATTAAGCAGATGTTTACTTTTAAATGCTAAACAGCATATGTTTAAGGATATTCTAAAAGTTACAAGTGATACTTGGTATTTTTGTACAAGGGCCCAAATGATTTTAACACAGAGAGTAGTTAGTCCTTCAAAAGGATGGAAGAAATGGGCCCCTCTAGCCCTCATTTTAGAAAGGAAGAAACTGGGT